GATGGGGGAACGGGGAATGGGGGGAATCTCCCCGGACGGGACCGGGACCGGGTGGGAACTGGGGGATGCGGGAATGGCAGTACCCAGTGCCGGGTGGGATTTGGGATGGCAGGACCCGGTGCCAGGTGAACACTGGAGGTGCGGAAATGACGGGAGAGGGTTCAGGTGAACACTGGGGATGCGGAAATGACAGGACCCGGTGCCAGGTGAGCAGGGTGGGATTTGGGATGGCAGGACCCGGTGCCAGATGGACGGGACGGGATTTGGGATGACAGGACCCGGTGCCAGGTGGGCACTGAGGGATGCGGGAATGGCAGTACCCGGTGCCAGATGGGCAGGACGGTATTTGGGATGGCAGGACCCGGTGCCAGGTGGGATTTGGGATGGCAGGACCCGGTGCCAGATGGACAGGACGGTATTTGGGATAGCAGCACGATGCCCCCAGGCCCCCACGCTTGACCAGCTTTGTCCCCCCACGCAGAGGCTGAGCCCGGGCCGTGCCGGAGGCTGTGGGGTCACTCGGTCAGCTCCCCCAGCCTGCTGGACCCCTCCGAGGSCGGGGCGGGTGCCCCGGCACCGGACAAGGTAGGACCGGGGGGTACCGGGGTGTGGCCGGGGTGTGGCCGGGAGGTCCCGCCGTGCCCCCCACTGACCCCACCTCTCCCCCCGCAGTTCGGGCGCTCTCACTGGGGCCGGGTGAAGGTGCTGCTCACCCGCCTGACCCGCCGCTCCCAGCGGGGCGGCCGCTGCAGGTAGGACCGGGGGWTGGTTCCCGCTCCCACCGCCCCACCCTGGATGGAGGAACTGCGTCACACCCCTCCCTATGACGTCACGCCCGCCCGGGGCCGGCCCCCGGCCCGGCGCACCCCCTTTTCACCTTTATTTTCCCCCCACAATAAAATCTTTTCACGGCTCTTGGCCAGGTGGTTGCTGTCGCGACGTGACGTCACTCCCCTTAACCCGGCGTGACGTCACTCCCCTTAACCCGGCGTGACGTCACGCGAGGGCCCGTCACCGCCGCATCACTTCCGAGGGTTTTTCCGCCCCTTTTGTCCGACCGGGCCCCGGTCCCATGGACGATTCAAGCGGCTGCCGCCCCTCCCGAGCCCCCTCCCCTGGGTGCTCCCCGAGCCCCCTCCCCGCTCAGCTCCGGAGCGATCCCACCGCCCCGGGGTGCGGGAAAAGCTCCTCCAAACCCCCTGGAGCTGCTCCGCGGGTGGGTCGGTGGGGAGGGGGCGCTGGGGGTCCCCGCCGGGGCTGGGGAGGGGCGGGGATGATGCTCCCGGGAGGATCGCGGGGGTGGGGAGGAAGCAGCGGCTCTTCCTCGGGGGGATCCCCGCTTTGGGGGGTGGGTGAGGAGGGGGCGATGCTGTTTTGGCGCTGCCGGAGCCCCCCGTGGTGTCCCCGGAGCCCCTCGTGGTGTCGCCGGTGCCGCAGATGAGGAAGATGCTGCCCCGAGCCCCCGCCGGCCGCTCTCCCATCAGGTATCCCGTTCTCCCTCCCTGTCCCCCCCATTTTCCTGCTCATTTCCTACCGGCACTCGCGGTTTGTTTTTTTCCTTCCCGCAGCGTCCCCCGAGCCCTCCCGGCGCCGCTCCSAGCCGGACACCCCGGGAGCATCCTCGGAGCTGCCGCCGCCCGCGTCCCGCCGCTCCTTCCCGGGAAATGTGAGTGCTCCGCGGCTCCGTCCTCACGGCAGGGGCTGGATCCGGGTGCTGGGGGGTCCCTGGCAGAGCCCCCCGGGGGGTTTGGATGGGTCACAGCCCGATCAGGGCGTGCTGGAGGGTTTTGGGGCACACCTGAGGGGAGGGGTCTTGTCCTTATCCCCCCCTTTATAGCATTAAACCCCTTCTCGTCACCCCTCTCCTGAGCCCCCCGGGGTGAGCAGCGATGGGGAGGGGCTTGGGGAGGTGGGAGAGGACAGGGATGGGTGTTCCCAGCGCGGGGTGGGAGTTTGGGCACCCCCAGCCCCTCTGCCGCCCCCACCGGGGGGGGTCCGGCTGAATTCTGGGGGGGATTCTGAGGCCGCTCCAGGTGATGCCGATTCTCCTTTCAGGGCCCAGGTGAGGAGGAGGAGGAGCAGGAGGRAGGGTCTGAGCCCCTCTCTCCCCTTTGGCACCCCTGGATCACCCGGAGCGAGCCAAAACTCCCGAGCACCTGAACCGAGGTGTGGAGCCAGATGTGAGCTGGTGGTGACAGGCATGGACAGGGTTAATCCATCCAATTTTTGAGGAAAACCCTCGGGATTGRTGCTGGCACCTGCTAAAGCTGTCCCTGTCGCGGGGGTCCTGTCCCCAAAGGGAGTCAAGGGTTTTGGGGAGGAAAGGGGACAGTCGGGATTGCTGCAATGCCAGTGGGATATCCCRGAATTCCTGATGAGGAGGGAAGAGGAGGAAACTTGGTTCCCATCCTGGGATGGGCCCACTGCCACTCGCAAGGATCTTCTTGGAGCTGCCCTTTCCCTTTCCCCTTTCCTTCCTTTCCCCTTTCCTTCCT